GTTGGAGGTGCACACTGATTGTTGTCGACGTCCTGTATCGTTACCGGCTGTTGCTGATGGTCGTTGATGCTCCTCGCCGCCGCCTGTCGTCGTTGTTTCTTTGCCGCCACCCGTCGTTGCTTCCCTGCAGTATAAGGAGACTGACCGAAGGGCTTCGGACGATCGTCAGCCCATCTGCGCCACCCGGAAGTCCTATCCCCACCGGGAATGGACATCATGGTAGAAGTCCTAGGCATGCCGAGGAATGTGAGTAGCCACCCCCAGCTGACTCCTATTCCTGGCGCCATATGAATACAAAAGATGAAAGTATACATACACTTGCACTTTACACAAACACAAAAATGTATGTTTTCGAATTTGAAATAAACTGCATACACTTTTGAATTTGACTGAAGCTGCATGGGTCATGCTTCCCGAGAAGTTGCATCTTCTCGACACTCCCGAACGACGACTTGGTTGTTGAACTGCGATTGTTTCTTTGTTGCTAACCTTGATGCAAGGATTCTGGAAGTTGATTTGAATTGCTGAATGCGCCGAGGCATTATTTCTGGCCGATATATTACACGGCTGGGTTTGACTGCTGCTATTGCTGGAACTTCTTCCGGTCTGACATCGAAACAGACTTGCTGTTGCTCACTATCGTAGTGAACTGTTAATTGGTGATCACGGTTCTTCTTGATGCAGTGTAGACATACACGGAAACAGTATGTCAGACAAACGATTTCGTACCGAAATAGGTTAAACCGCCAGCTCATGTAAAGGAATAATGTAAGACTGAGAATGAGAATGACAGCAATTGATATACTTCTCCAGCTACCTTATATCATTGACACTTCCTCTTCGATTGATTTCGATGCGACATCCAACTGATGTCCTAATTCCGATAGCAGTCGCTCTCTTTACTCCTTGTGTCTTCTAAGAAGTCTTCGTTTCTTGGCTTTGCTTCGAAGGCGACGTCTTGTCGTTTGCGTAGACTTTTCAATGCCAGTCTAATTCTCTTTCCTTCTACTGATGGTGGCGTTCTTGACTGAAAGACAATCTGATTTGATTCTCCTTTGAGTTGCTTTGGAACGATTAGCTTCTGACCATCATAGAGACACAGTCTGAGCTTGCCTGTACTAAGAAGTACTGCTGAGGCATCGTTGCAGTCCAGCAAAATACTTGCAGCTACCGTTGGATCTTTGTGACTTATCCATCTGATAAGCGTAATCAACGTGTTATCTACACCACATCTTTCAATCCAACTATTGTGAAGCGTGCTCCTTTCTATTTCTGCTTTCAGCATGTCGTACAGAAATGGAATTTCGAGTTTTCGTGGCCTCGACAGGTTGTCTCGAACTCTTGCCTCAGGGGAAATGCTTCCTCCGTGTTGTCGCATTTCTTATCCATCGTTGGATATGGTATATTCGTGTATCCTATCATTACGACCACATCGTCGTTTTCGGTCAACCTAGCTCCTGGTAAACTGCATCCGATAGCTATGTCCTTTCTGCTTGGAGATAGACGAAAGCGTTCTGTATCTCGTCGATAATCACGTGATCTCCGTCTACTTGAGCTCAATATGTTCCCTGTTGTCGATACTGGCACTGGCTTCGCGCTTTACTAGTATCCCTGATAACCGTTCCAATGCTGCTGATGCACAATCCTTTTTGGAATTTACATCTTGTTTCTCCTGCTAGGCCCGAAAGGAACTCTTCTCCACCGTATACTGCAATTTCACGTTCCTATAGAATGTAGTTGGTGGCTGACGAACATCGAGTGCCGATCCATCCGTATGAGTATTCGGTTGGCACTAAGCTCTTCCATCTTTGGAGGCTAACTTTCGTAAGAGACAATCCGTTGGCCGACTTCTTTTATTGCGGTGCGTGACATGTCTCGTTGCTGACTGGCTTGGTCACCATTTCATCACAGACTACATGCAGCGAGAATCGAAAGAATGCTCTTGTGCAAACTGTTTGCTCTACTACAGCACAAAAAGTTGCATTTAAGTGCTGATATTGCTTTGTATAAAAAGCGACTAACTTTTTACCCAGGTCACCAAGTTGTGTTGCATAATTCTTGAGCGATGGTATCTCCACTACGGTACCAAGTCTTGTCGAAGAACATATGGTAACTCCTGCTCCCACTACTGTGAAACACTGCAGGGTGAGTATTGCATATGCCACTGTCGGATTTTTCTGGAACTTGCTGTTCGCCGAGCTTGTTCGGCACGGTTTCGTACTTATTGATACTGTTGATACTGCAGCTTCTAGCAGATTCTCTTTCTGTTTCGAAAACTTCTTTCTTCTATTTTCGAGCTGTTCTGTTTCTTCAGTTCCTTCTGGATACTGCTCGTTTTCTGATTCTTTCCACTTGGGCCATTCCTCCTTTGGGAGGCTAAGCCACGACGGGCCTGACCACCACAGCTGATGAGTTTGAAGTGTTCGTGGCACACTTCCTCGTGAAGCTATATCCGCTGGGTTTTCGTGCGTAGGAACGTAATTCCACGGTACCTTCGTTTCACTGATTTCTGCCAGGCGATTTGCGATGAATTTGGTGCTGATTTCTTCGATCTGATCCAGTGTAATACACACTTCCTATCACTTCACAGGTAGAACGGTACGTCGTTCAAACTGAGCTGCTTGCGAACAAAGTTGAGTAGCCTGACTCCAGTTAGTGCAGCTAGGAGTTCCAATCGCGGTATGGAAGCTCCTTTGATTGGGCACAATCGTGTCTTTGCAAAGGTCAAATAGGCACGAGCTCCACTGCTATTCGATTCTCGTAAGTACACTGCTGCGGTATATGCTTTTGCTGACGCATCGACGAATACATGAAGTTGCCCTTTGCTTCCCGTACGTTGAATTTGCCGTGGCAGTACAAACCGATGGGTTTCCCAACTGCTCATCAGCCCCTGCCATTCTTCCTCATCTTCCTTCCTCAATATGCTATCCCAATGATACCCTTTCTTCCATAGTTCTTGAAGAAAGCATTTTAAAGGAATGAGAACGAGCGTAATCTAACCAGCTGGATCGTAAATCGATGCTAAAAAATGCAAAATCGTTCTCTTCGTGATGGTCACTTCGG